ATCAAAATCTGCAGCACTGCAGGATTTTCTTCTATTAAGGGTACGTTTTACAGAATAGAGAGATTGCTCAAACAGCCGATCATCCAAGGCAGTGCTGGGTTCTATGATTCTTTTTATTTTTAAAAGAAAATAACTGAGCAACAAAGCAAGACTGTGAAAGTGATTATTCATTCATCCACAAGCAAAATGAAGCTATGTATACTTGTATAATAACCCTGACATGATTGTAGCCTGCATTAAAAAAATCTTTGATACTCTGACTTAAACTGAGGTTTGATAAACATTGAGTAGGTAATCCAAAACAATTCATTGGACAACAGAATTAGCCAATAAGTACAGGAAGTAATTTTCAACAGTTACCAAGAAATCTTTAAAAAGAGCTAATACAAACACAAGGCAACCGAATAGAACAAATAATGATAGTTTGTATTTCTTACATAAGTTTTATCAACTCCTTTCATCATCGGAGGTTATCTACATACCAATATATCTCAATATAACATGATTGTACGCATTTCTTCCATAATTTCCATCAGCTCATTTCATCATTGAAGGTTATCTAAGTTATATATCAATATATCTCAATATATATATATATCAATGACACATGTCAATATCAGCAATGGTCGTAACAAGATGTCCAAGTTGTCTGATCTAGTGTACACAACATCAACAAGTACCGGTATTTCAAAGTATTATGCTTTTTAAAAAAGCCAAAAAACCACTGAAACATTCATCAAATGGTAGGGTGCAGAAGAGGGTTACAGCAACAGTATCTGTATCCATTTATTGAGCTTTTATTTTTTTCTACCTAAGAAGAATGTTGAACAGCCTGAAAAAAACCCCCACTATCAAACTCTTCGAATCCTTCCCCTAAGTACAACATTTGATATTTCTATTATATAATAATAATAATAAAGATCACTTCCCACTCCTTGGTGGCTCTAGGCGCTTCACAATAACATATCATTTGATAACAATAATATTTGACGCATTTACTTGTTCTGTTGAACATGTCAAAAAGTATTTTGTCATTGTAACAAGAGTCATTTTGACCCTTCCTTACAGGATTAGCAAAAATGTTCTGACAGATACATTGAAAAACAGATCTGATTGTGACCCAAACGTTCCTTAAGAGGCTATGCTGGTCGCCATATTATAAGCAAGGGGTGTTTGAGTTTGAGTAAAGAGAAGTACTGTACATCAACACAATAAGTGTCATTCAGTGCAAGTGAAAAAAAAAAGTCAGACATACAAATACAAAGGAAAGAAAGATAAGAAGTAGGACCTGGGCTATTCCTCGGTAACTGACGGGATATTTGGGCTATAATTTCTGACTTTCTTACAATGACAACACTGTAATTCAATATCAATTTATTCATTTCAACATTAAATGATCAGAACATTTGAAAGACATGTTAAGAATCATACAATTAAATGCAGTCATTTGAAAAAAAAAAGTACGTTATGCATATTCTGAGATGTGTTTTAGTTTCGGTAAGTGACGGAACAGAAAAAAAAAAAACACCTCAAATGTTCTGTCAGTCACTGTGGAATAGCCCTATCAGTGGCGTCCCCTCACCACCCATAAATGGGGTGGAAACATTTTAGGCAGGTACAGAAAAAAAAAATGGAATAACAAAATATCCACTAATGAATCTGGAAAATCCTTATTTCCATACTCCCCACCAAAGACTTTGAAAATTCATTATGTCTACATTCTAGATTTGGAAAATTCATATTGTGGTGACCTAAATAAGTTCTAGACCACTGACAAAGATAATCCAGTACCGGTACAGACTATTGACCTAGACAATCCATTATCATGATTATGTCCATCTTCTTCACCAATGACCTGGATATTCCATTACGTCTTTCTTCTTCACCAATGACCTAGATAGATAATCCATTATGCCTTTCCTCTTCACCAATGACCTGGATAATCCAGTATGTCTGTCTTATTCACCAAAGACCTAGATAGATAATCCATTATGTCTTTCCTCTTCACCAATGACCTAGATAATCCATTAGGTCTGTCGTCTTCAGCAAAGACCTAGATAATCCATTATGTCAGTTCTTTTCACAAATTATGAGTCCACTAACAACACAGCAACTTCAAAATGTTATTTCAATAATCTCACAACTCACAACCGTCGACAGCAGCAGCTCAACATTTTGTACCAAAGGCGACATTGCAGTACACACAGAAGAATGGCGACAATACAGATAGTAGAACAGTGATCGAGTAAAACAGACAGCAGGACAGCATCAATAAAAACAACAAGAAAAACAGTGACGATTCAGACAGCGGGGAAGAGCATGTATGTATAACCCTCCAGCGATAAAATGGCCTCAGTTATCCAAGAGTAATTACATATTATAATAATTCAATCACACGTCTGTACAACAAGGTGTATACTTTCTCCAAGGTCTTGCGCGTATAGCACGAGGTTTAATGTCACTTACGGTAGTTATACTGTGCGTTCAGAATCTCTAAATATAGCATTGACACACTTTCAGTGTACAGCCATCCAAAGGCAGAGTGACGTAACTGAACATTTCCTGATTTTGCAGGGAAAAAAACCCATGGAAAACTTTTTTGATGATGCTTATTTTAGAGACCAGTCCCTTATCATCTTACGAAGTGTAGCTTTTCCACTTTGAAAACTACTACTCTGGATGCAGATAGATCATCCGGTCTTTTGAAGAATATGGGCACAACTAGTGTCACATGGTGTAACAAATCAATAAAACTTAAAAACTTGACTTTATCGTTTACGTCACTCTGCCTTGAGACAGCAGTATAATACATGCCAGCTCCATCACATTAATCACAATACATATTTCTTTATAAATAATGCCTAAAGGTTATTTCACAAAATATGCACACCTGTGAGTGTGTGTGTGTGTGTGCGTGTGTGTGTCTGTGTTAAAAAAAAGGGGGGTACACATGTTCATGTGACCACACTCACATACACATAAGTATATGAGCCATTCTCATTAGGATGGCATAAAAATAAAAAGATTGCAGTAGCCCAAATTTTGGAAGAGTTGCTTTCTATGCTTTTCTGACTAAAACTAAAACAATAGTGTCTGTCTTTTCTCATTTTCGAGCTGAGAAGATAATCAGATTCAACATGAGCACAGGAAAAGGGCATGAATTTGTTGTAAATTCCCCAGGTTTGGACTTAGCTTACAAATAACTGGGGCACATTTGCCAGGGTTCTTTTTTTATATTTTAAAAATGAAAATGCACCAAAACAAGCATCAACGAAGTAATAATATAGACCTACACGTCATTAAAAAGGTTACTTGAAACATGGTAGGGTTGGGAAGAGATTAAAAGTGGGTGGTTGACGGGTGCTCTGGTATGAGTTGCTCCTTCTTTCCTATCAAACAACTACCATCCTTCTTTTCTTTGTACACTACTACTCTCGAGAAACACCGCTAAACTTTGACACCAATATAACCTGTTAGTGTTGCAAGTGCCGTAAAATTTTTATTAACATGCGCTCACTACCACTGGAAAAATTTTAATCGCCGACGCAACCAGGCACACTAAACATAACTAAACAACGAATGGACATCCTGAACTAAAGTAAATACCAAAGAAAGTCACTCTATAGGATAACTGAATGGTAGATGAAAATCTCTAAATTTTTAAAGCATGTTTCTTGGGCTGCCAAGGTTTCTTTAATTAAATAAAATTCTACCATAGCTTCAGCATTCTATACTGGTGCGATACTTGAGAGTGTTTTTCACTGTATGAGCCTTCGGTACTGTAGGTGTTAAAACTAAATAGATTCCGAATGCCCGATCAAAAGTGTGGTCTGTGATGGTGAGCCAACGTATCCTGTGACGCCCATGTCCACAAAACGTAACTCCTTTGATTTAATGAAAGCATATAATTATTGAGACAACAACCAAAACATTTTTTTTACTGATCCTATTTAAGTGTGTAACTGGCTTGACTTGCACAGCTGAGCCACTTTCCAAAGCAACAAGTGGGGGAAAAAAAACTATTCACAATAAACATAGTATCAAAATCATTGGCAAATATTTTTGTTTGTTAAACTTCAGCCAATTTGACATATATGCCACTTATTAAAAAGCCTGATTTAGATTCACCTGGGAGAGAGGCCCTCTAACCATGCTCACCTTTTGAAAATGGCTCACATTTTATGACACAAAACATAAATAAGTTCATAATTTGAATGCAAACACACACACACACACACACACGCGCACAGACACACACACATACACACCACACACACATCTGTACCACACCATACAGTGCCAGTGTGTAACTGATGGAGATGTCCAAACAGCAGCCCCAACAGCTAGCATCCGAACCATCCTGTGTCCATCTACAACTTGTTCACTTTGGTCTGACGAAGGTGCTAAATGCACATCGCTCTGGATGGCAATTGTTAGCACTACTGGCCCCTACTGGGAACCGAGCGAAGCCATTTGGGGTTTGTTTTTGTTTTGTTAAACGTTTTACGGCACTTGCAACACAACAAGGTCACATAAGTGCCGAAGATTAGAGGTGTAACCAGAGAGTAAGAAACATAAAAAAAGGAGGGGAGATAAAGAAGATAGATGTCTGATAGGAAAGAAAAAGCAAACCACCCACTTTGGGGTTCCCTCGTTTGACAGATTAGAATCCAGAATAACAAGATTGTAACTCAGAATTTTTACAGTTTAGAGTTCGTCACCTTGGCGATGTCGCCCACTAGTTGGTAATTTGGTAATTCTGATGGGTGGAGATCACCCGGGTAGTGACAGGCGTTATCTAATGCCCCCCCTCCCCCCCCCCCCCTTGGAAATACATGTACGTGTCATGTAGGTGGGTGGTAGAACATTTTATCCTCTAAAAGGTTGCAAAACTGGGCACTGGCTATTTTAAAAAGTTAACAAACACCGAGTTAAAGTGTCTAGACCTTCCCCTGTACTCCCTTAAAATTATTATGTGTAAAAGTGACAACTCTTATTCCTTTCTTTTTTTTCTGAGACAAAACCATATTAATTTTATTCTTCATTGGAGGGAGATACAATAGGTGAAAACTTCGGAACTCAAACATCTCAAAAGCGAGAGTGACTGAAATACAACCTCATTATTCTGGGGTTGTGAGATGGCCACCCCAAAACCTTTATGCATTGAAACAACAGAGAGAACAAAACAGCCTGTCTAATGCCCCTACTATACACAAGTTACACAAGCCACCGCTGCCATTATAATGGGTCTACAGAGCAACTCCTTACTCAGGGGAACGGAGGAATGGTGGAAGGTGGGGGGGAGAAGAGGAGGAATCTACAGAGTAGTGTATGGGTATTGGCTAGGAGAACGTCTTACTTACGAGTTAGTTAGAGGGAAGGGTGGGGAGTGACAATGAGGAGGAAGAGGTGAAGCCGATGGAGGAGGAAGAGGAGGTAGGAGCTCCAGAGTATAAGCTAGGACAGCTTCTTACAGAGTAAACTATGGGCCAGAAGAGCGTCTTACTTAGAAGGAAGGGCGGGGAGAGGGATGGTGGAGGAAGAGGAGGTAGGAGCTACAGTGTAGGGTATTTGCTGGGAGAGTTTTTTGCTCATGGGGGAAGGGTAAGGAGGGAGGAGGTGGAGGAGGAGAAGGGGTGTGGATGGTGGTGGAAGAGAAGGAGGTAGGAGCTATAGAGTAGGATATTGGTTATTAGAGTGTCTGACATATGAGGAGGGATGGGGAGGGAGGAGGAGGAGCAGGTAGAAGCTACAGAGTAGGTTGTAGTCTTGAACAGCTCCTGTATGTTACAAATAATAACTTGCATCTGGCATACATCCACATACTGTAGCACCCCTCTCCTCTCATACAAACACTCAAACATACCCACATAAAGCCGCACACAGTCCTCCTACACACACATACCCACACACCTACTCGTACAAAGCCATATACAGCTACAAAATCACACATATACACAGTCACATAATCCAATGTGAATGTACCCGCACAAAGCCACACACAGTCCTCCTACACACATACCCACATATACCCACACACCTACTCGTACAAAGCCATATACAGCTACAAAATCACACATATACACAGCCACACAATCCAATGTGAACGTACCCACACAAAGCCACACACACACTCGCACAAAGCCACACACACACTCGCACGCACACACAAAGCTATACACACACACTCTCACACACCCACACACACACAGCCAGAAGCACTCCCCCTCCGCTTCCTACTCCTCCAGTAGCTGCGACGGCCTCGGCTCCTCTTCCTCAGGCACTGGAAGATGTCTCATGACTCATCATATCATTCATCCTTTGCCGGATTCTCTTACGGGCTGCTTCATACCTGAACCAAATCAAAGGAGTTTGTTTTAGTGAAAGTTTTACCACACTTGCAACACAATAAGGTCTTATAAGTGCCGAAGATTAGTTTTAGTACGGTCTTACGGCGCTCGCTTAAGGTCATATGAGCGCCAAGGGGTGGATGTCAACAGAGAAATCCAAACGGGGGAATCAGGCTTACTTTGCTCACCTCTCTAGCCTCAACAGCATAAAGTCTGCTTTGACTATCAAGGCACCCCGGAAATAGCAGGTCACAAGAGTGTGACAAACATACAAAAGAAGTAGAGGAAAAATGAAGATAATAAGGATGAGGAAAGAAAAAGAAGCATTCCCATGTTGTTCCGGCACAGTATGAGCATGACATTGATAAATCAGCACATTTACAATTCTAGTGTGTGTGTGTGTGGGGGGGGATAGGTAAGAGTTTTACGAAAAATGCAACACAATAAGGTCAGTCTTAGTTTTTTTTAAGTTTTAGTAGAGGTTTTACGGCACTCGCAACTGCATAAGGTCATATGAGCTCCAGAACATTAGAGGTGTTACAAGAGAGTAACAAACATAAAAAAGAAGGAGGGGAGACAAGGACGATAGATGTTGGACAGAAAAGAAGAAGCAAACCACACCAGAGCACCTGCCAACCGCCCACACAATAAGGTCATGTAAGTGTCGAAGATTAGGTGTCACAAGAGAGTAACAAACACAAAATGGAAGGAGGGGAGATAAGGACGATAGATGTTTGATAGGAAAGAAGGAGCAAACCACACCAGAGCACCCGCCAACCACCCACAATCAAAGGAGTGAAAACGTTAGAATTTAACAAGCAGCCAAACATCATATGACTTACAGTAATTTTTCACAACAATAACACTTTTCTGCAACCCAAACATAACATGAATTACAGTAAATATCATACACCGGAACTGAATTAAAACAATGAAACAATACTTTTCTGCAGCCCCACACAACATGACTTACAACAAATATCCCACAACAGCCGAAGGAAAGCAATGAACTTTAAATACTGCTGCAGCCCCACATTTCACGACTCTAAATCTTAATGAAAGACCTATCAGCCTGCTCTGTAAAAATTTCCGGGGGGATAGAAATTTGAACGGCACAGCCATACATGAACATGCCTTACTTTGGTTGTCAATCTTGCAACACAATACTTTTTTTACTCTTTCGATAATAAGCGTCTCATAATTGAAGCACCCATCGTCCTAAAACAACAGAGCGTCAGATATTAGATGCACTCTTCTACACGCCATTTAGAGCTCTAGAGAAAAAAAATTAAGTCAGACTGAGAAGAACAAAAAAACTATGCGGTGAAAGAGTAGAAGAGGAGCAGCAAACACCTTCTTTCTTTCTACCCAGACTTTCCGGAACATTCAAAGTTAGAGAAGCCTCACCTTGCTTTCACTAGAGACACCTCCGACTCTTCATCTCTGAGGAACTTGGCCATGATCCCTCGAAGCACAGCCTCTGGTAAAACCAGCAGCTGTTCCACCTGAGAGACAGAGAGAGAGAGACAAAGGGGGGAATGAACATATAATATATATAGAGGGAGAGAAAGGGAGAGGAGAGAAAGAAGGGGAGTGGACATATAATATAGAAGGGGAGGGGGGGAGAGAGAGAGAGAGAGAGAGAGAGAGAGAGAGAGAGAGAGAGAGAGAGAGAGAGAGAGAGAGAGAGAGAGAGAGAGAGAGAGAGAGAGAGAGAGAGAGAGAGAGGAGGGGGGGGGGAATGGATATATATGATATACATAGAAAGAGAGAAAACAGAAAAAGAGAAAAAGTGGGAAAGAGAGACAGAGTAATAGAGGTGAGAGAAAGAGTGGGGTGTTAAAGAAAGAGAGATAGAAAGGAGGGAGGGAAGGGAGCGGGGGAGAGGGAAGGAGAGAGGGAGGAAAAAGAGTGAGGGAGAAAAATGGTGAGAAAGAGAGAGGGGGCAAAACGAATTTGAAAGAAAGCCTCAATCAAAATGTGGATGAGACATAAGGTATCACAAAACATGAAACGCTTAACCTTAACTAGACAGTTCTTTCACAAACAACTTCTTCCGTTATTTTGGGGACAGATAAGCACACACACACACACACACACATACATCTGTATAAGCACTCAAAGCTCATACTCCTATGGGATAGAGCACTATATAAATGCAACGTTATTATTACCATTATTATTATCATCATCATTATCATTATTATTAACATTGTTATTGACACACCAATATACATAGGAACACACACATGGCCAGAAACTGTGACACACAAATGTACTTAACCACAGACATGCATACACACATACAAAGAGATAGGCAGACACACAGGCAAACCCAAACATACACACATACTCAGACAAACACACATACATACAATACACAAACTCACACTCTCCCAAACACATACACACTCTCACACACACAGACACACACACACACACAACCAGTCACTTACTCATTCACTCACTCACACACACACACACACAAACAGTCACTTACTCATTCACTCACACACAAACACACACACACACACACACACACACACACAAACACATGCACACACAAACAGTCCCTTATTCACACACTCACACATAACCACACACACATAACTACACATACACACCCACACACCCATTCCCACCCACACACCTCATGTGGTAGATTCTCCTCCTCAGCGGACTCCACAATTGGTAGCTGTACAATGACGCCTGAAGGAACGGCCTCCTCCATCATCTCTTTTTCTTTGATAAAGATCTTCCCGATGGATTCATCAGGTCCCAACTTCAACCTCTCCATCAAGGGCTTGTCTTGCCTGGTCAATAATCGTTCTCCTGCACAAACAAAAGACAATTTACTACCTCAAAATTACAACAAGGTTCTATCCGACATTTTTGGCCGTTTTGAGCTAGTAAGACCAAGAGGTCAGAAACAAAATATTCTATCTGCTTTATCAAAATCGTAAGATATTCGAAGTCATCCTCAAGATATTCAAAGAATTGCATTTAAAAAAAGCTTGACATGAGGTGAAACTCAAAATCCTCAACGTCAAATTTATCAAAACCAGGTAGTGAGCAGACAGAACTTTGTAATTCTTGTTTTGTTTCGTTTGTTTTTGTAAGTGTTTTACGGCGCTCGCAACTGCATAAGGTCATATGAGCGCGAGGGACACATTTAACTTTTTCAGTTGGTAGAAAATTTTAAATGTTGCCTGGGTGGCGGCCGAAGCCTACTCTTATCGATTTTAGACCACCAAGGGATCTTTAACGTGCGCAACTTGCACACGGACCCTCCGAGACTTTTCACCTTTGTCCAAGAAGGCTAGGTGTAGATCTTTCCTACCAGAAGATCATGGGTGTGGCTGAAAGACAGTAGTAAGAAGAAGCCAAGGAGTAGCAGTAGAAAGGCTGTAGAAAGGATCAGAAGCCCAGACGAGGGGGGCAAAGGAGATGAGGAAGTGGGGGCAGAAAGAGGTGACGAAAGCAGATGACAGAACATTGCTAGAGAGCAGGAAAGGAGGTGAAAGGAGACAAATTTAGAGAAGAAAATTTTTCAGTCACTACCCGGATTCGAACCCGGGACCTTTAAATGAGAGGCAACACCTTAACCTCTAGGCCACGAGAGCCCCCCTTTGTAAATCTGAGGTAGCGAATAGCGAGGCATCGTGGTGAAATCAGGCACTCACCAAAATAAAGAAATTGAAGAAATCTGCATTTTTTCTGCTAGGTCAACAATTTGGTAACAAATGTGTGTTTTTTGGCCTAACACCTGTTACATCCATTTAAGAACGGGTTTCAGAATAAAGGCACCCACAAAAAATTATGTAAATTTTCAGTCCATCACTCGGGATACCTGAACTGAGTGGGATACAACATCCCAGCACGCAGAAGGAGATACTTTATTTTCTTTTTTCTTTTTCTTTTTAAATTTCCCCATTCTTTGCGATTGAAGGAGCTGAGGGTTACCTGGTTTCAGAGGCAGAATTAGCGAGAAAATGGCCCCCAAAGTTTGGAGACATCCATAGCTTGAGAGTCCATGGAAAGTGAAAATTTACATTTTTTTTTGTGTGCCTTTAATCAACGATTTTCAGTAAAATCTACACAGACATGTGTCTTCAAATGGACATGAAAAGTGTTGAGCCAAAGAGTAAAAATTCAATAAAAATTGCAAAACCAGCATAAAAAGGCTAGTTGCTTCAATTTAATCATTTTGACGAGCGTCTAGATTTCACCACGATGCCTCACATATAGTGAAATGTGAGCAGATGCTTGTAAAGAACATGACTTACACCATAAAGTTGAGTGCAGCTGTGCGCCAAGAGCATGACTTACCTTCATCATTGACGATATACAACAAATACTCATCGGGACTGTTCTGAACCTGCCAATAGAACAACACTTAACGTTAAAGTGGCGGGATCACATTTTTTTAATTTTTCAAATATTCTATCATTGATATTTCCACCTCAAATTTCCACCTAAGATAAAGCAATTCAAAGATATAATTCTGCTAAATGTAAGATCTCACATGATTCACATAATCACGAAGTTAAAAATAATTTAACGTAATAACAAAAATAAGCATACAATTTGAAGATACCACTTCTATGACCCTACTCACCTTGAACTAATTTTTCAGTTTTAAGAAGAGTTTTATGGCACTTGCAACACAATAAGGTCATGTAGGTGCTGAAGATTAGAGATGCTACAAGAGAGTAACATACACACAAAAGAAGGAGGAGAGATAAAAACGATATATAAATGTTTGATAGGAAAGAAGGAGCAAACCACACCAGAGCACCTTGCAACCTCAGTGCTTTCTTGTCCTATCTCCATTATTTGTTTTAGTAGAGGTTTTACGGCGTTCGCAACTGCATAAGGTCATATGAGCGCCAGAAGATTAGAGGTGTCACAAGAGAGTAACAAACATAAAAAGGAAGAAGGGGAGATAAGGATGATAGATGTTTGATAGGAAAGAAGAAGCAAACCACACCAGAGCACCCGTCAACCACCCACTATCTCCATTATTTAACAGTGAAAACAGTTCATAACAAAGAGTGAGCTTAGGAAGAAGTCACATTTTCAATGTAAAAAAAAAGTGGAGATACGACAAGAAAGCACTGAGGTCGCGACCTGCCAACCGCCCACTCACCTTGAACTTATCCAGCAGTGCTTCTATGACGTCGGAAGAGTCCATGGTCCCATCAACAGTCACACTGGTACAGCTGCCTAACACAGGGGTGAACACACTTGTCTGCAACGCAGGATGTTCAGTTTCAGTCAAGAGTTTTAATACGGCACTTGCAACCCAACAAGGTCATAAAAGTGCCGAAGATTAGAGGTGTTACTAGAGAGTAACATGCACAAAAAAAGAGGAGAGATGAGAACGATAGATGTTTGATTAGATGTACTCGCTAACCACCCATGTAACACTGGATGAAGCATATGTCACGTGGTCAGTACCACACACACACCAGATCATGGGACCCGATCAGTGCCAACACACACACACACACACACGCACACACTACACACACACACTCATAAACACACACACTCTCATAAACACACACACACTCAAACGTGCGCACGCACGAACACACACTAACACACACACTCTCTCTCTCACACACACACACACACACTCTCACACACACACACACACACACACACACACACACGTGATACATATTTCTTTCATGTATAATCTCATCTGTATTTCTTTTAAACAGTGGAAATTCTTTACAGAACCCTGTGTAGAAAAAAAACATGACTTACATCGTAATTGAAAATATGCCCATTAATGGAGGCTCGTTTCCATTTGGTCGGCTGGTCCCCTCGGTAGGCGACAGTTTTGAACTTTCTCACACCAGGCCTCTTTCTCCGTACGACATCGTCGTTGCCAGAGGGTGATAAAAGTATGTCATCCATGTCTCTTGTTTTATGGCTAGCGGAAACGGACCTTCCGAAATCCTGGAGGGAAAAAAAATGGGGATAAAGAAAGAACACATTATTTTCCAAGTGTACGGGGAAAAGAAAGTTTTCACACAGTGCCTGGATTGGAGGAAGGGGGAGAAGGGGACAGGGATAAGTTGAGAGATGGTAGAAAGAGGAGGAGGGGGGAGGAGAAGGAGGAGGGATAGATAGATAGATAGATAGATAGATAGATAGATAGATAGATAGATAGATAGATTAGATAGATAGATAGATAAAGTGATAAATAAGCGATTTTGTTTTTTTGTTTTAGTAAGGTTTTACGGCGCTCATAACACAAAAAGGTCATATGAGTGTCGAAGATTAGAGGCGTTACAAGAGAGTAACAAACACAAAATAGAAGGAGGGAAGATAAGGACTATAGTTGTTTGATAGGAAAAAAGGAGCAAGCCACACCAGAGCACCCACCAACCACCCACAAAATGAGCGATGGATTTCGATAAAATGAAAATGATTTGAGATTTGAGGTGGTAAATTATGAAACAGAAAATGATGTGAAGGATAAGGTGATAGATTGTGAAATAAGACAGAATGAAGATTTTTTTGTTTTGGTAAGAGTTATACGGCACTTGCAACACAATAAGGTCATGTAAGTGCCGAAGATTAGGTGTTACAAGAGAGTAACAAACACAAAAAAGAAGGAGGAGAGATAAGGACGATATAGAGTTTGATAGGAAAGAAGGAGCAAAAACACACCAGAGCACCCGCCAACCACCCACACAGAATGAAGTGATGGACAAGGTGACAGATTATCTGTCCCCGTGGCTTTATGCACCCCGCATTATTTAGCAAAATTTGATCATTTTTTGCATAATTTTTTATTATTTTCCTTCATCGTTCTTAGTTAAAATTATCAGAATCATAATTTCATATTTTGGGGCTCAGTTTGCATAATTTCAGAATTTTTCTTGAAAAAAACGGCGGGGACAGGATTATGAAGAAGTTAAAATTATGATGTGACGGATGATGACACCGACAAAATGACGTGGTCGATTACGTGATAAATGATGAAACAGACGAAATGATGAGAAAGATGAGGTGATAGATGATGAAAAATAATCAAAATAATGGGATAAATGAGGTGATGGATCACAGGAAGACGACACAAGACAGACAAAGCAATAGATGAAGAACAACCGAACAAGACAATAGATGATGTAGTGCATGTAAAATAATGCCACAGACGGCTTACACGATGATGGGCTACATGACGCGACAGAGGGTGAGACCGATATGTTCCAAAGTCAATTGCAGGGGCAAAAAGTATTTTTCTACAATTTAAAGAAGATGCTCCCCCTCCCCTCCTCGGCACCCTCCTTCCCAATCTCCACTCCTTCCTCCCTCCCCATTCCCTTCCCTTCCCTTCCCTCCTTCTCTTCCCTTCCCTCCTCCCCGTGTCCCTCCTCACTCACCCCCCCCTTCTTAAACTTACAACAGTACTGGCCAATTTGTTCTCTGGAATGTCGGCAGCACTGGCGTTGACACACAAACTGTGTCGCCACTGGGAGATGGGTGGGGGTGGGATGTCATCACAGTGAACCAGCTGGATGGGACGGCTCAGGCCCCAGTAAATTCTCAAAGGCCCTTTCACGTCCACATTGCCGTCATCTCTCTGAGAAAAAAAAAGTAAAAAAAGATAACAAATGAAAAAATTTTGGTTTTTTATGAAAAAAATATTTTTAAAAAGCAGTTTAGTTTTGGTTGGCTGAAAAGAAGAGTTTTACAGCACTTGTAACATAAATAGGTCATATAAATTCTGAAGATTCAAGGTTTTACTAGACACAAAATTCCAAAAAGAATAAGAGTAAGAATAAGAATAATAGTAGTAATAATGATAATAACACTAAGAGTAATAATAATAATAAAAGTAATAATCGTAATAATCATAATCATAACAATATAATCATTGCAATATCCAACGCATTCACATTCTACAGCATGCTCTATGCAGTTCGATGTCTTTCCAAGGGATGAAGCGTAAGGCCCCTGACAAGATTTGAACAAATGACCTTACAGTTGCAATGCCGAGAGCCAAACCACTAGGCCAAAAAAGAAGGATAAGGGTGATGGATGTTTGACAGGAAAGAAGGAACATTCTATTAGGGAAAATACTGATGAAACACAGATGCTTCCAGTTAATGGGAAGGGAAATACTTAAATGACCCATGAAGTTGAAGTTACTAAAGGAAACACAGATAACACACAGCACTCATTGAGGGTACACGAGTATATACTTTAGTTTTAGTAAACGTTTTACAGCATTTGATGAGACTTAGGTCAAATGAGTGCCAAAGATTAGGGGCGTTACAAAAGAGTAACACTCGAAGGAAAGAAGGAGAGATGATAAGAATGGTAGATATTTAGAGAGAAAAGAAGGAGCAAGTCACATCAGAACACCCGCCAACAACTCTCGAAGGAATATAGGTGTTTTAATAAAGATAATACTGATGACACAGAGCCGCTGCTGTGGAAAATACTAAGTAAAGAAAAATACAAGAAAACGTTATTGCTTTTCGTTGGCGGAAATATATATCTGCACAACACAGAATAGCACATTGACACCTACCTCGTCTGCTGTCATTTGATGACGAATTTTTCCTTCGTGGAATTTGTTAAATTCTTCAATCTTCTGAAGCACTTCTCTCCTGCAATGAAAAAAAAAGAGGGTAAAAAGAATGAGTCATCGCTTTATCAGTCATGGCATTCTTTAGTCAGATTTTACTTACAAGAACAATTGTACCACTTGTCAACACTGTCAGTCTCGTCATCTTTAAAAAAAATACAGTACTCCCGGCCGAAGGAATATATATATGCAAACTGAAAAAACATATATCATTTGGGGTTGTAAATATTTTTTTTTTAATTTGACATTAGAGGGATCTAAATAATTGGCAAAGTTGCTGGAAATTTTGCTAAGTGCCACTTCCTTTGTACATGACACTCCTGTTTATGACCCACACAAATGCCCAAATCCCTTCATTTGGAGCGATTTGACCCTGCTTCAAAAGTTTTGTACTGTAAAAATTAGCATCCTGACATCTGATGAAAATTAATTGATTCACCCCCACAAACTGTTCCCATTTCCACTAGCACTGTAGCTCATCGTGTTGGACAGAGAGCCACCTTAAAAATAAAAGAAAAAAGAAAGAAAGTACAAAGAAAATAATCCTTTTTAAAATCTAACATGAAATTGAAACAAACTGTCACAATCATAATTTAGTTCTGAGTCACATTCAGCGTCATATTTCTAGGAATGAACAAGCCCTACAAAGACATATACCCTCCCACAACGTTTAACACTACACAAAACCTCTGATAGTCCAGTAAAATCAAATACATTTCAGTTGACTGTTAGAGATGATGATTTGAAAAAATTAACAAGATGTAAAGTCTAAATAGGATAGATCTTAACATTGAAAATGGGTTTTCCAACTGAATAAGACTTAGTCTCTTGGTAAATTTGTTTCCATAGTCTCTCTGTCTATATATATGCACAAAGTAAGCAAGCTCTGCTGGTATAAATGTTTTTGTGACAGGACAGGTTCTTTATTTAATAAAGTGGCAAGTTAAGGTAGAGTAACTACTTTTGCCTTTCGACAGGCTTTGATCTTAACAACAGGCTCCTAAAGCAAAGGTACGGGTATTTCAACTTCATATACCATGTACTGTACTTTAAACACAACGATTCCTGTTTACATAACAAATAAGGCCCCCTTTAGGATATACCATTCCCCCAAAAATTTCATTGCATCACATTATAGTTTACAACAAAGGTCATGTTATACAAGAAACAAAAAGCTAACAAAACAAACAAGCAACTGAAAACCATAACTGCTTCTAGAAGAATGACAGGTCAATCATCTGGCAAGTTCATTTTGTGTTTTTGAATGTAAAGTCTTCACGTTAGAGTGTCACACATTTCTTTACACTACACACCTGGTAAAAATACATTTTTTCCTTCTGAATTTGCGCAAGACCACAATATTTGGGTCATCATCCATGGGTCTTGGGTTCGACATGAAAATTCACTCACTCAGTTCCAACACCTTCATACACAAATGAATCAAAATGAGATTTCAATAAGAAGAGAGTCTTAGGACCACAGAAGATCCAATACCCCAGAGGACCAGAAAAATTTACATAAATATCACCACAGATAAATTCTTCCAATACAGTTGAAAAATATACACAGAGTTTCCTTCGTTTCTAGCACTAATTATTTCACAAGACTGAGGAACTCCCCTGTGAGCAAATTATAGTTGAGCAGAAAGAGTGTGCCTCGCACTAGCCACTGAGTAACACACCAGACAGTTAAGAGTCAGTAAGAGGCCTCTTGAGCACCCACTTCCTGGCCAGCCAACACAAAACCTGAGACCTTCAGCTGCTTTGTAGTTTTGCGTCATCAAGTCCCCAGTGTCACATCGCGTACACACCTTCCTTGACAGACCATGTAACAAACCAAAGAAACATGAAACTAACCTTGGTTTCAGTGTCAGAGCCGGATCTCTGCACATGTGGCACAAAACTTGTTCAGCTGGCGCCACTTGAGAGAAATATGTCCGGATTACTAAGTTCACCACCAAGAAAGCAATAGTAGCAACATAGTGGTGCCAGCCAAATGTTTTTTCAAAAGTGTACATCACTCATGTGGGATCATTTCTAAAACTTGAACTGGGTAATCGCTTCCAAAGAAAAGAGTATTTGAGAAACCAAAGTTACATTTCCAAGTGTGATTTTTTTTATTGACCTTAACATCCTCTCATCCTGCACACTCGAAGAGTGCTTTATCAAAAGTTCAATTTTTATTTTCTAAACTTACCAAAATTAAATGTTTATTTGTATAAAGAGAAGTACATCCACATAATGATGACAATATAGTCAGTCATTTAAAGCAGGAAATCGGTACGACAGGCAGACAGGAACAAGAAAAAAAAATAGGACTTATATAAATCAGTGGCATTCTCAAGCCATCCATAAGCCAGCTGACATTCTAAAACTACGAATCTCCACAAATATCAACTACAGAGATTTTATAAATAAACAAAAGAGCAGAAATCTCCTTTGTTGACCTCCTCTATTTCAACTGTGATCAACAGCAAGGCATGTTGACTTTCTTATCTCAGCCATAGTTGATAATCTTTAACTGATGTATTCATTTGTCACAGTATCAGTTGTAACACTTTTTAAGTTGGAACAGTAAACATGACAGCAGCAACACATGACCTTCGAGTCTGCAGCGATGGGCTACACAATCAGACACATCAGCTTTGCTTTTCTTTTGAACCTCTATTTATTGCTCCTCCTAGGGAGCGTGTCCCCCCAGAGGGTGAAGGTAATTTTAAAAAACTAAAACATGATACAGCCCTTTAACCAACCCTAATCTCACATTATTGTCCCTGCAACTGTAATAACGTAGTATCCTCTGGCTGAAATAATGTTAATACTAAAGTTAACTTTACCAAAGGCATACATCATAAAATGAGCGTTATGATTTTCTCTCTATCATTTGATTACCTCTCAGTAGTCTCAGCCTCCAAAATTTGTTCAAAGGTATCCACATTTTGGTACTCATTTCGAGCACAAAAAATACAAAGAACATTAATCTGTGAACCAGGACAGTGCCAATGTCTCTGTGTAGGGTAGGTTAAAGGGCTGTATCATGTTTTAGTTTTTAAAAATTACCTTCACCATCTGGGGTGACATTTTCAACCTCATTGCGAGACTGTTTTTCTCATATAAAATTTTACACATAAGCATTTAATTTATATATCATGTATAATACTTTGCTTTACGTACACACTTGTCGATTAATTTTTAAGATGTGATGTCTTTTTCGTTGTAATGCGCATTGAGCATCTTTTAAGAAATGGAAATGTGCAGTATAAATGCTATTTATTATTATTATTATTATTAATCTCTGGACACAAAATAGGGGGAATATTGGGTCATACGGACGCTGTTCATTTTGTTTCCTTGTTATCAAGTGTAACAGTGACAATAACTGAATGTGAATGTATCATCAGTCATTAACTCATTCTATGCAAAGGTTGAAAATTCTCAGAAGATATGAAAAGCAACCCACCAACATGAGATCTACGAGTATTCTATCACTGTCACAATTGTGACATGTCAACTTAACCACATTGTTGCCTTATGACATACCTGGTACGAAATGAAAATGCATGATAACGATACAGTTTCTAGCTTTGTGCCGTACCATGGACTTTACGGATGTGTGCAAAACTTGCCCTCCTGATTGCTATCCACATTACATGTACGTCACAGTAATTGCCTGGTTGCAATTCTTCTGTATGGAGTTTGAGTCATAAGCACTGTGTGGATTTGTATTCATTCATGAATTTTAAAAACCCAGCAGCGTATCAAATTTGCTTGTTACTTTTAGGCTTGCAAGCGAATGATAAACACAGGTCTAGTCTTGCAGAAAACTATGGCTATGGCTGTGTGCTCTCGTAAATCGTAAACATCAAAATAACTTTAAATGCAGAAAATGTCCCTTTTTTACTTAGATTTGCAAGCGTTTCGAAATTATGAGTGTTAAATAGGAATGAGGAAAGTGAAAAAAATGACACTGTAATTGAAGGCTCAGAGTCCCATGTCATGGGAGGGTTAGATCTAGACCACGAATCCATAAACACAGAGACATTGGCACTGTCCTGGTTAACAAGCTTCAAAATTTAAAAATAGTGCTGACAGTAAGAACATTATATTAAGGCTACCCCATGGCAACAAAGGGATTTATTAAAAGAAAAATTAAATTTAAATGTTGTCTACCTTTACCTTTTTAATATTCAAAACTAAGTACACTAAGTAGAGGGCAATGTTACTGGGCACTGCTGCCCAGTCCTTGTGCACACATGTGTGACTTGATGTGGTGTGAATATATACAGTCCAGGATAATCCGGTTCAGGCCCCAACGATATCTATGGAGTATGGGTTTTGACTCCACCAACGATTACTTTTGGTTCTAAACGATTACTTTTCGTTTTCAACGTGTGTGATGATGTTTGATGCACCCCCTCTTATTTAAAAACAAGTGAAATACTGCTTATTTTGTGCTGGAAAATAGCAGTGCATCTCTCGCTCTCTTTCAGATAAAACATTTTCACCTTTGTAAATAAATACGTAGTCTGTAGTGTAGTGTGTGTGTGTGTGTGTGTGTATGTGTGTGTAATGATGTGGTTTGGGGGGGGGGGGGGGGGGAGGGGGGAGAAAGAGAGGCTAGATCTAGAATAGAGACAATAGAGAGAAAGACAAGTCTTACAACAACAGTGTCACACACAGAAAACAAGAAGAGTCAATAAAGTCAGTCACACAGACAACACAATGACAGTGCAAGCCTTTTTTGGGCACTGGTTAAGATTTGCCGTCCTGCCACCATGTTGGTTTGTTTACATCATCAGCAACCTGATGACCTCTTGGTATGAGAAAGGTTAGAGTTTTGATTTTTTATCGAGATCTACATTTTTAAGCTCAATTAAAATCCTCTTTCCGACTGGCAAACTAGATTCTATAGAATCTAGGATTTAGTGCGCACTTTTGGGGCGGCAATCAGTTGGATTCTTGTTGTTAGAAGAAATCTAAACCTGTGTCGCATTGAGTTGCTGATGTAAACAAACCAACATGG